TCATCCTTCTCTAACTGTATCTCTCTCTCTCTCTTTCTCCCTTCTCTCTCTCCCTCTTTCTCCCTTCTCTCTCTCTCGCTCTTCCTCTTGTGATCCCTCGCACATCCATCCATTCATTTCATCTTCCCGTTTCCTCTCTCTCCTCTCTTCTTCCTCCCTCCCTCATCACTCCCAGCCCTTTAGCGAGTCAAAATGTGAAATTACAGATTTTGATGAATTTTATTTGCCTTCAGGATTGTCACTCTTCTAAATTAACTTCACAATGAGCTGCACTTAACCGTGCGTTCCATGTCACTTAGTGACTGAAACGGGGGAACAAAATGACGGCAATGTCTTCTTCCCGGGGGTTGCCTTGCCGACGGGCTTTAAAACTGGACTGGTTACTGAAACAAGACTGAATCTCTCCACACACTAGTGCTGAGATATTGCTGAAATTTCAACAACAAAAACTAAAGAACATTTCTGTGAATTCTTTAGTTATTATGAATCAAAACGCTAGACTGCCACATTTTTAAAAACTATGTATCTTCAGCTGCCCGTGAATTGAAAATAATTAGCTCTCAAGGCCCACTTGCAGACAGCCAACGGTATATCCACGTTTGTGGCAGTCTCAAATAATTCTATTGGGTAATCAAAGCTTGAAAAATATCAGAATGGGGTTGATATTAAAGCAGTTAAAAAATTATCTCCAAAAAGTATGTCATCGTGGCAAAGTGCTTGTGTATGTGACTTCATTCATAATCATAAACGTTGGAAACTCTTGAAAAGGGAAAGAATGTCTGTCGTAGCCGAAAGGCATAAAGTCAAAAGCAGTAAAAATCAACCTATTTTATTATTTTTATTATTATTTTTATTATCATTATTTTTATTATTATTATTATTATTACTGGTATCATTATTATTATTATTATTATTATTATTATTATTATTATTATTATTATTATTATTATCATTATCATTATTACTATTATTATCATTATCATTATCATCAATCATTATCATTATTATAGACAGGTATTAACTGTAATACAGAGTAAATGCCTTTCTAGTTCCAAGCAGACAAACTGTTCATTATTAAGGTTAACAAAAAAAGAAGATTAGCCTTGTGTATAAATTCTATACATTTAAATTAAAGATGCAACTCTTTCCACAAACACACTCACATCATATACCCTTAACCACTTTGATACCATTTGATTTTAGTATAACTCATTTTCCACCCAACCCAGCCTGAGTCATCAAACACGAGTATTTAAAAGGTTAAGATATGAACCACACAAATATCTTAATGAGTTTAAAATGTGTCTAGCATTCCGTCTCTCTCTCTCTTCTACCGTCTTTTTCCCGCTGAACAAGGCCGGTTAATCATCCTTAATGCACCTTAATTACCTTGAATACATCTTTGCTAATTAATGATGATTATCTGAGCGGCTTGGAGAAGTACAATACACCCGGGAAACATGTTCGAACAGACACCTTCCTGCTCATAGCGAAAGAGCATTCTTGTATTTAAATCTATAGTGAACATAGTGTAGTCTTCGTCTCCCTGTAACTAATGTCCCTCTTATGAAAATCTAAAGTTTTATTTCAACATATGTTTGGAGCCAAAAGGGCATTAACTGATATACTTAATAGAGAGATAACGCCCTTCTGGCTCTAAACAGAAATATGTCTCTCATAGAAAATACTGCATACACTTTTATTGTACATATGTATGTGTGTTAATCCAAGTTTGGACCTCAAAGTAAGTTATTAATCGATAAGATATAAAAGAACAAAATATGAAAAGACATTTACGTCAACAAATCAAGTTGAAGACGTGAATGTTGAGAATATTCCGTTATTTTAAGAATACCAAAAAGAGGTGGAAGAAGAAGAAGAAGATGATGAAGATGACGAAGGAGAAAAAGAAAAAGAAGAGGAGGAAGGACAACAACAACAATAATTATAAAAATGCAACTCCTTCTGACTAATGGCTCAAGGCGCAAATACAAACAATATTCTGATTAGGGTGGAATAATTAATACATCGCACTAAAAGGGTTGAGTAAGAAAGCAACTCTCGAAAAGTAGAACAATCCATCATTCATAGGGTGAATGAGATCAGAGATGTGCTCTATTTTACAGCATGTATCAGAGTGTGAAACGGGGAGCATTAACCAACTTAAAAACAAGCACATTCTAATTAATCCCAAGAGCTTTAATCCTTCTGAGGCAATTAAGCTATCATTTCTCATTTACTGCAGTGATTAAAGGATGACTCATGGCGGGACCCGCTTTGGAGATTTGATGTTGTTTCAAGAATCAAGATGATCTGAAAACGTGATTAATTCTACCTAATCTGAAAACAGCCTGATTTCAAAGGACTAATTTTAAGATTTATAATGCTACATGTATGTTGAAATAAGTATAGTTGAAACCACTTGTTTAATATATTTTACATGATTTTACTCAATGAATAGGAATACCTACCAGTTATTGGAAAGTGGAGAAAGTCGTCCAAGAAACACACTAGGTGTCTTTTTTTGTTATCCTTCCCCATTAACATGAGTACCCCTTTAATATGTGTTACCACAGTATGTGGACAGTATAGAAAATTAACAATAACAAAATATTAGGTGACCACAGAACATTTTTTATGTGTCTCCTGTGTCTGTAATTGATTATGAGATGTACAAAATTACAAATTGTATATTTTGCCTGAAACTCCTTTTTTTCAGTCTTTCCTCATCAAAATCAGAACAACACACCAAAGAAATTATCTTCATTTCATTTCATCACTCATATTCATCAATTCTATCATGGAATACCACAAACCAACAACTTAAACCACACTATACATGTATGTATCTCACATTTCTTTCTTCACTAATAAAGACCTCAAGAAAAATGTACATTGGTCATTGATGGTTGTTTAACATTTCTCATTACTGTCTTCCCTTCTACAACAGATGCCACATTTGGTGTGTGTTGCTCTTATCAAATTCTAGCAAAATGTTAAGTAATGTTAGTTTCCCTACATGTTTTCACACTCTCCAATTCAAAATAAATAAATAAATCAGATTTCAGACTAACAGATTGAAGAAAGAAAAAAAATTGTGGTCGAACACTCACAAGACTCAACTTAAGTCCCAGGTATTTTAATGTAATGTAGCATGTAGCACAAAACCGTTTGAGGCGATACATCGCCAAGCTGACAAAAATGCCCCGGAAGCCCTTCCAAGTAGCCCTTATCCATCTTTAGGGCACATGTGTCCCTTCCGAAGAACAATAAAAAAAAAACATTTAAAATGAGCCCCCCCCCCCCCCAAAAAAAAAAAAAACTAGATGGAACTTCGACTGCGCGCAGTCGAAAATGATGCCTCCGTCATAGAGCAAGTTTACAAACCAAAAAGCAATTTCTCATATACATATATGACCCTTTGATCTTTGACCTCATGACCCTAAAATGTACTCAGTTCATTGGCTCTGCAAGATGTCCTGAGTTAAATAGTAATCCATCTGTCAGTTCTAATGAGAATGCGTTCACAAGCTATTTTTGCATACATAATGAGCCCATGACATTTGACCTTTGACCTCATGACCCAAGAATCTACTCAGTTCATTGGCTCTGCAAGATGTCCTGAGTTAAATAGTAATCCATCTGTCAGTTCTAATGAGAATGCGTTCACAAGCTATTTTTGCATACATAATGAGCCCATGACATTTGACCTTTGACCTCATGACCCAAGAATCTACTCAGTTCATTGGCTCTGCAAGATACATACATGATCTAAGTTTGGCAGGAATCCATCAATCTGTTCCAATGATAATGCGATCACAAGCTATTTTTTGCATACATAATGAGCCCTGTGACCTTTGACCTTTGACCTCGTGACCCCAAAATCTAATCAGTTCATCGGCTCTGCAAGATACATACATGACCAAAGTTTGGCAGGAATCCATCAATCGGTTCTTCAGATAACGCGATCACGAGCTGTTTTTGCATACATAAATGAGCCCTGTGACCTTTGACCTCGTGACCCCAAAATCTAATCAGTTCATCGGCTCTGCAAGATACATACATGATCTAAGTTTGGCAGGAATCCATCAATCTGTTCCAATGAAAATGCGATCACAAGCTATTTTTTGCATACATAATGAGCCCTGTGACCTTTGACCTTTGACCTCGTGACCCCAAAATCTAATCAGTTCATCGGCTCTGCAAGATACATACAAGTTTGGCAGGAATCCATCAATCGGTTCTTCAGATAAAGCGATCACGAGCTGTTTTTGCATACATAAATGAGCCCTGTGACCTTTGACCTTTGACCTCGTGACCCCAAAATCTAATACACCAGTTTACAGTTGTGTGCGCCATTTTAAACAAAGCCAATGACCTAGAGGTCATGTATTTATGCGTAAATTAGGATTGCGCCCATGCAAATTTTGATAATATCACTGCCCTACGCGCTGCGTTGTGTGCGCACATCATCATTTGCATGGGCGCAATCTTAATTTACGCATAAATACCACTGGTCAAAGGTACTTCCGGGGCCAATGACCCCGCTTCCGGGGCCGATGACCCGAGGTCTACTGTCTGCGCATGCGCACTGATACAACTGTAAACTGGTGTATCAGTTCATCGGCTCTGCAAGATACATACATGACCAAAGTTTGGCAGGAATCCATCAATCGGTTCTTCAGATAACGCGATCACGAGCTGTTTTTGCATAAATAAATGAGCCCTGTGACCTTTGACCTTTGACCTTTGACCTCGTGACCCCAAAATCTAATCAGTTCATCGGCTCTGCAAGATACATACATGACCAATGTTTGGCAGGAATCCATCAATCGGTTCTTCAGATAACGCGATCACGAGAACGGGACGTACGGACGGACGGACAACCCGAAAACATAATGCCTCCGGCTACTTCGTAACGGAGGCATAAAAATATATATATATATATAAATATTTGAGGCTGGTGTGAAAGCACCTATCGTACAAATTAAAATTTAAAGGATCATCAGCATTGACAATTTGGAGAGAGTGTGAACCTAACCCTGAAGAAATGATGAAAACATTAGACTTACCACAGCTAGACAAACCACCGTGTCCCCTTCTCGCTCTGTTACCGTACTGCAAACCACTGTATTGGGAAATGGAGCAAGAAAGAGGGCAAGGAAAAGGTTAGGGAGAGAAAAGGAGAGGGAAGGTGGGAAAAGGAGACGGAGAGAAGGGAGGGAGAGAAGAGAGAAGAGAGGGAGACAGGGAGAGAAGAGGAGGGGAGGGAGAGAATGGAGAGGAAAAGAAAGTAGAGAAACAGAAAGAAGAACAAATTAATAAGTAGGGGAAGAAAGGTATAGCAGCAGAAGGAAAGTGAGAAAATAAGGAAAGAGTATTAGACAAGGAAAAGAAGAAGGGAATCAAGAGAAAGATGGGATGATAAAGATGAAGAGAAAAATATAATTATATTTTTGTAACTTAGATATGAAAATGTGAATAATCAAAATTGTGTTTTTGGTAATTGTACAATAAAGAAACAAGTAAAGAAATATTGTGTCTTTGGAGCCACAATGTCATTAACTCAATAACACATAGTTAACGCTGTTGTGGCCCTGAAGAGAAAGAGAATTTTTACATTGAAATACATGTACCGGTAAATGGAATTTCTGGGACCGCATCTTGACCAGTTGAATACTAAGGCTAGTAAAGATAAAGACTAGTTATGGTCATGCGATTGCATTGTGAAAGAAACGTTGTGGAATCGATCAGGTTGATCATCTAGCATGTAAGTATTGGTGTGTACTGCAAGGTTCTGGAATGATCAAAATGATAAGAAATTTGGCCCAGTCTTGGTAAAGTTACAAGCACTGTACACAGAAAGATGTATATGGGACTACTGCGACACATGCGTAATATCTATCAGGTCCAAATAGATATAATAACTTACCAAATTTGTCAATTAGTAGGCAGTTTCTCGGCAAAATTTGTATGATCACGTATTAGTCACAACATATTCTTTCACATGATTGGTAATAACAGCTTCCATTTCATTTTTTGAGAGGGGGGCATTTTCAAAACTAATCTTTACCTTTAACATAACTTAGGATGAGGTCTATGGTAAATATTAGTTTATATCAAAATCATATCATAATTGACTGGTTTATATGATTAAGATGTATGTAGGGATGCTACATGCATTGCAGGAGCACTAGCTGTGCATCATCAAGAGCGATCGGTAGCCTTGATCTTCAAACCATGTCCCATTTATCAAATTAATAGGTACCATTTACACGCTCATTTGCTAAAGAGCAGCAATACATTTACATTATAAATTCATCTGATGAGAGCCAGGATGGCGTTAACTCTTATCGTTTTACACAGAGTAAATGTCCTTCTGGCTCCGAACAGCACATTAATGGAATGGATATATTTCTGCTCTAATTGTCAGCTATGCATGGAAAGCTTGGAAATTAGTGAAATGAAATTAAGTGAGAACTCTAGTACTATCATCTGCAGTAGCTGTAGCAGAATCATTGTCATAACTGTTATTTTTTAATGTTTAATTTTGTCATTACTCATTTTTTGTTTTTTGGATTACTAAGACTCCTACCCTTGCCCTTATATTTGTTACCATCATAAACATCATCATCATCATCTTCATCATCATCTTCATCACCACCATCATCATTATCATCATCATCATCACCATCATCATCACCACCATCATCATCACCACCATCATCATCACCACCATCATCATTATCATCATCATCATCATCATTCATCACCATCATCATCACCACCATCATCATCAACATCATCATCACCTCCATCATCATCACCACCATCATCATCATCAATTCATCATCATCAACATCATCATCAACATCATCTTCACCATCATCATCATCACCACCATCATCATCATCAATTCATCATCATCAACATCATCATCAACATCATCTTCACCATCATCGCCACCATCATCACCACCACCATCATCAACATCACCACCATCATCACCATCATCATCACCACCATCATCATCATCATCTTCTTCTTCTTCATATCATCTGCTGAAAGCATGGAGGGTACTTAAAGCTCAAATAATTAAGGTTAACATTCTTCTATCTCTAAACAAGTGATATTTCATTTCACATAATCACACATTCTTGTCCTCAATTCAGAAAAATTAACAGATGCTTATCAAAAGATGCATAGTTATTCTTTTGTAACATTTACTGGGGGTTCTACTTAATCTCTTCAAGAAGAGAAATCATTAATACAACTAATTAAATTCATCTACCTATCATCCAGCCTTGGATGCTCTTCACTCTCTTCCGCTCCTACTTTCCATCTCAAACAGAATCAAAATGGAACACTCTCAAAGAATGAAAATCCATATTTCACCTTCAGTGACATTAAACATAAAACAAACCATCAAGCGTCTTCACAGCTTTGCGTTTGTTCAATTGTTTTGACGCGAGTCTTTCAATCACTCTCTCTCTTCCATGCAAACATCACACGAATCCAACCCAAGCCCAGTGTCACCCAGACGATTCCATCTCCCCCAAAACGGTTACGAGAGCATCAAATATTTACTCAGTTGATTTCACGATCAATATCACGTTTAATCTCCCTGAAAGACGTGTCATCGAAATGGCGCAGATGATGAAATTTGTACAGCTTTCAGCCGGTCGAAATGGGAGCTACATTAGAAACTTGATGAAACAAACAAACCTGACCCCCTGTAGTTATTGATTACTAATAAGACGTTTTGCAGACTTGGTTTAAAAAAAACCTTGTCGTCCTCCATCCCCCCCCCCCCCCTTCTATGTAAGTTCAGGACAGTTTTTGGTTGGCAGGGTTTGATGGGGAGACAGTGCATTTAGTGGCAAGTTAGATGCATCCAGGCAAACGCAAGCATGTGATTGCGCTAGCATGCATGCCGGGCCAAGCAGCAGCACTCCATCAATCCATTAACAGGGGGTGCTGCCTGCTCCCTGGTCTAAAATTGTACAACAGCAAACATATGGTACGATCCTTTTCTTCTCTAAAAACATCACAGAAACTAGTTAGGCACCCGGCCGGGGAAAGGATAATTGATCGATACATGTTTAGACTGTATTTAGAAGAAAGTTGGAGGCCCTCGTCTGTTCATGGAACAACTATGAATCCATGGTCGGTGAAAATAGAACTTAAAAATGTAGAAATAATCTTAACAATTTTTAAGAAATACATATGAAATGAATGAGGTCATAATGTCTGTACAACCCTATACCCCCTTTCTGTAACACTTGCCCTTCATTTTTGTCTCCATCTGTTATAGCTCCTTCTCTTAATTTCTCTTCTCTTAATTTCTATTTTTCTTTCAACCTCTCTGTACGTCTGTCTCTTCCTTCATATCCTCTATCTTCCTCAAATTTTCCCCGATTCCCCCCCCCCCTCTCTCTCTCTCTCTCTCATGAAGCCCATTTACACTTCCCAACCCAAACACAATTGTTTAGAGTTGCTATGCAACTACTGGCGAAACACCGGAATGTGAGAAAAATGTATGATTTTTAGTTTCAGTGTAAATGCAGCTTCTGTCTCTCTCTCTCTCTCTCTCTCTACCCTCATCTTTCTCTCTCTCTCTGTGGCTCTTCCTCACTCTCTCCAAATGGTTAATAGATAGAGATGTGAATATTTGTGTTCCTCTTTTTCTGAATTCAACAATTCTAGACTAGCTTCAAAACAATGGCAAAACTTGCCAAACTTCTGAACACTGAATAAAATACTATGATTCACTGCTAATTTGTATATACCTGTACATGGTAGATTAATTTTTCACTTTTCTTAATTTTTCTCAATCAATCAAACTATTTTTAAATCCGGTCTCCTAATTCCTTCCAATAATGTCACAAAAAACACAGAGGCCTCAACAACAAAAACGAATAAGATACAAAACTTTCGAAAAGGGAGATTTCAAGAAACACAATTCCTCAAAGGAGAAAACGATTCATGACCCGTTTCCACTGAAATTTAGCCTTAGAGGGGGAATTCAGAAATAAACTTGATTCAAGTGTCAAAATATAATGTATGACCTAACTCACAGAGGGGTATATACTATATTCATAACTCTTCGTTCATCCTGCCCCTTGTCACTACCCCATAACCCTTTGGGAAATTTATTCAATCAAAGGAGAGAAGAAAAGCAAACATACGGTGCGTCCCAGAAAGAAAAAAAAATTATTGATGTTTTATCATAACTTAATCACAATTATAATAAATAAATGACACATATTTGTAAAGACTTTAAAAGACTGGAAATACAAGCATTACTTAAACAAACAGAACATGGTTATTCCTGGCTGATTTTTCCTGATTAAGGTGTCGTATGAAAGGGCAGAAAATGAAATTTCTAGAAATGTGATTTTCTCTTTGAAATTCAGATACCGCTCGCCAAATGACTTTTAAATCACTCATGCATGAAATATACTGTACGTCATATGACTTGCATCAAATGAAAGAGGAGGATCTGAGCTTAACAAATATGTGTCATTTATTGATTGTAATTGTGATTAAGTTATGATAAAACATCGATAATTCTCGGTTTCTTTTTTTTCTGGGACGCACTGTATAATGACAGATAATTTTGTAAAAGAGCAAGTTTCTTTAATTCTCATTTACAAATTATGATCATTGAAATCAAGATGCCATGATTATATTCAGAATGTATTTTTCTTCTGTTTTTACATATGGTATACTCTTTAATGTTATTTTCAACAATCACTTAGCATGGACATTTAAGTTATTTTTTTTTTAATGTTTGAGTATATTTCTTGTTATTTTTTTGTGATTATGATTGTAAATTATGCACAATTCAACATTTTATTGTGATGCATGATTGTTTTTTTGATAAATACCCTCTCAAATGCAATATATGGAGCTTGAACCCTAATTTTGTTCTTCTTTTTTCCCCCTTGTTTTTGGATTCTTCATTACCGGTATTTTCTTGCTTAAATTTCATATTGGGCTGCAACAGAAAAAAGCAACACTACAAATCCAAAACTTGAAAAGGCTTTTGATATGGCTAAATCAATCTATAATGCCTGGATTACATTTGGCCTGCGATTAGTCTACGGGAGCCCGTATCCTGCTCGT